TGTGAAGGCATACCAGTCATATGGGCACAAGCCCCAGAGTCAACAATCCATGGGCTGGAGGTGGAACAAGCAAGTGCAGTACCTGTGTTAGCATATGCACTAGATGRATTATCAAAACCAAATGAGGAAGATGCCCCACTCTTTTCCAAGTGCAGTAGAAGACTCCGAAGTTTATCCATCACGTTAGAGGAGTCATGAGATTGAATGGTCACATTAGAAGATTGACCCCCGTTACCAACTGTGGCTAAATGAGCATTGTCTTTCCTTCCAGTTTTAAACTTGTTCGGTTTCAAGTGAGGATTGAGTTTCCAACATCTTTCCTTAGTATGCCTTGGCTTCTTGTAATATTCACAGATGACATCATCAAACTTCTCAGTAGTAGGATGCTTACTGCCACTTGGCCTAGGCTTAGAGGACATAAAGGCAAAGTGCTCAATCACAGAGGGTTCCATCATGGTTTCCCTTCTACTTTCTTTCCCTTGCACAAGAGAGTAAGTAGTAGTTGGGGAGACAATGCCCAAACTCAGAATATGTTGCCTAGTGAAACCAAACTTTGGATTTAAGCTAGCCAAAAAGTCAAAGACCCTGTTCTCCTCAATGTACTTCTTGTACTGCTCGACACCTATAGGATCCTTCCACTCAAAAGTTTTCAAATGGTTCATTTCTTCCCAAAGAGATTGTAGAGAGGAAAAATACATAGCCATTGTTCTCTCCCCTTGACGCATACTACAAGCTTCTCTTGTTACCCTGTGAGCAAGTGGTGACAACCCTGTYCCAAATATCTTTAGCAGTTGAGACTCGAGAGGAAAATGTAGTTACAAGCAATGTGAGGTTGCATTGAATAGAGCAGCCAAGACATTACCAGTGAATTATCCTGTTCCCACTATGCAAACTTAGGGTCTTCAATTTTTGGCTTCACCTCCTTGCCTGTAATGAATCCCAACTTACTCTCTCCTTGGGATAGTAAGTTTAGCCGATTGGGAACACTCCAAAAAGTTGGTCCTATCAAGTGTTACAATGGTTATCATACCAATGGAAACATCAGCATTTCCAAGAAACACACTGGAACCCATCTGTACATCTTTTGGTGATTCCATACCTCCCAAACAACTACCTTGGCAACCAAGGAGCACCCCAACACCCAACTGAAATACAAACCCAAAAGGAAGGGTCAAACTCGGTTAAAGGCTAGAAAAGGGGCCAAAAAGCTGGCTGACGGTAAAATAGAGGCAGAAGAAAAACTCCCAAAAATTGTTTAAGGTTCAAAAAAATATGGGACCACTTCCCGTCATTCCCAAAATATAAAATGACCTAGAAGAACTAGGTTTTGCAGAATAAAACCCCATCAAACAAGAGAAACAAGCCTCTAAACCAGACGAATTTTTGTGATTTTTCACTTGAAAAGTCCACAACAAATCATGGAAGCATCAAACCACAACGTGACATATACCAAAATTCATCTAAAATCAGGGTGAACCAAACCATACAACTTTTAGAGATTGCCGCCACCACCTGTACGAACTGCTGATGTCATCCAGCAGCAGTCTGACATCAGCAGCTCACCCTCTGAGCAAAAACCAGTAGAGAAAGACTCTCCCATGACCTTCTAGTTGCTCTGATACAGAGTTACAATATCTAGGTTTTATGGAGAAAGAAAACAAGGAGAAGAAGAGAAGAAAATAGAGAAAGGTTCGAATGGAGAAGAGAGAGTTACTGTTCACTCTCTCAAACTTGGGATTTTATACTATTGAGAGAAATTACAAGTAAGCCCTCATATGGGTGCCCAAATACAAAAGAACAAAAAAGACAAGAATACCCTTGTACCCAAACAATCTCAACACTCTACCTCAAGTTGAGCATATATGTCAATCATGCCCAACTTGTCTAAGTTCTTGGCAAACTTTGGATGATGAATACCTTTTGAGCTTACAAAGGGTAGGCAAATCTCTCCACTTACTATCATCTCTCTGATAAAATGTCTATCCACTTCGATATGTTTTGTAAGGTCATGTTGYAGAGGATTGTGGGCAATGTTTATGGTTGCTCGATTGTTGCAATAGAGTCTCATTGGAGTATCAACTTGGATGCCTATCTCAGTCAATAAGGTCTTCAACTAGAGTAATTTTGACACTCCATGGCCATTGCTCTATATTCTGCCTCAGCACTATATCGAGCAACAACTAAATATTTCTTGCTTCACCATGAAACAACATTACCTCCAACTAAGGCACAATAATCGGATGTAGATCTTCTATCATCAATAGACCYTGCCCATTCTACATCTATGTAGGCCTCAACCTTTAGATGCCCATGGTTGGAGTACAACATCCATTTACCAGGACATCCCTTCAAATAGGCTAGGATTCTATTAACAGCCTTCATGTGGGAGGTTTTGGGCTCATGCATATATTGGGTGACAACCCCGACTGCATAATGATTTAGGTTTAGTCAAATAGAGATAAAGAGGGCGGCCAACCACTCTTTGAAAAACCCCTTTGTCTAGARGAACACCTCCTTCAATAGTACTCAACTTGTGATAGGGATCAATTAGAGTTTTTGCAAGGTTGCATCYTAATTTCCCAACTTCATGGAGCAAATCAAGAACATACTTTCATTAAGAGAGGAAGATTCCACTCTTGGATCTTGCAACTTCAATTTCAATAAAGTACTTGAAATCACTGAGATCCTTAATCTTAAATTCTAAAGCAAGAAAAGACTTTAACTGAGAGATACCTGAGATGTCATCCCTAGCCACAACAATGTCATCAACATATACTATCAATATAATT